TGACCGAGCGTTCGCAAACACTTCGCCTCAAAACTTCAACACTGAAAGTGTGACTTTACTATTTGCACGCAGCTGGAGCAAAAGCAACATGCGAACATAGCTAACATATATATATGTACATATCTATACATATGTATATTTACGAGGTGTGTTCGAAAAGTATCGCGAATTTTGTGTTTTTTCAAAAATTATTTATTTATTCATGAATATCTATTTTGTCCCCTTCAAAGTAATCTCCATGAAATATTATACACTTGTGCCAACAGTTTTTCCAATCTTCGAAGCACTTCAAAAAATCATTTTTTTTTATCTTGTTCAGTTCCTCGTGCGATGCCGTCTTTATCTCGTCAAGAGAAGCGTAACGTCGTCCTTTCATGGGCCTCTTCAGTTTAGGGAACAAGAAAAAGTCACCGGGGGCCAGATCTGCGGCATCATTAGTGTGTTGTTTTTGGCCAAAAAGTCGCGCACATGCAACGATGTGTGAGTAAAAAGTAAGTAAAAGTAAGTAAAAAAAAAGTGGCGCAAAAGCCAATTTTTGTCACATCTTCTCGGCCTTCTGAGAACATTTTGTACCACCGATAAACGTTGCTTCGGTCCACGGTAGCTTCTCCGTATGCCACAGTCAACGTTCGGAATGCATCCGCGCATTTAATTTCGTTTTTCACACAAAATTTCATACAGGTTCTTTGATACATTTTTTTGAATAGGCAAAAATCGAAGACGATGAAAAACACGTGCAAGCAAAGCAGCTGTCAAYAATTAAATGAACATTCAAAATGGCCGAGCTTGTCGGCATAAGTGAGAGACATGAGTACCAACATAACGCCACAAAAAATTCAAAATTCGCGATACTTTTTGAACACACCTCGTATAATATACGAGCCTTTATAAACATGTAAACTCTTAAGTGCTGCTCATAAATAATAAAAAAATATTAAAAGGCTGTCACAGAGTCGACCTTCCTGTAATGTAAGCACCGGATTTCGCGCAGCATTTTATTTTATTTCATTACTTCCACGTTTCATTGCCAGCCACAAGAGTGTTTATGGAGATGACTCGTTTACTGAACACTCATTGTGCCACTGTGTTTACCTTTGGAGCTGCCACACACTTTGCACTCGAGCTTAAGCTTGTGTGGGCACTCACACACATTGAGCACTCAAAACTGTCGATAACGCAGCAAATAATAAGTAAAAGTGCTGAAGAAAAAAAAAAAAAAAAACCAAACAAACAAAAATCGTTAAAGGTCTCATCCGAGTTCATGTTTAACAAATATTTGAAAAAAAATAAAGAAAATAAAGAAAACGCCCAG